CCGTCCTCCCTCGCCGTCCTCCGTGCTGCGGTCGCCGGGCCCTCACCGTCCTCCGTCCTGCGGTCGCCAGGCCCTCGCCGTCCTCCGTCCTGCAGTCGCCGGGCCCTCGCCGTCCTCCGTGCTGCAGTCGCCGGGCCCTCGCTGTCCTCTGTCCTGCAGTCACCGGGTCCTTGCCGTCCTCCGTCCTGCGGTCACGGGGCCCTCGCCGTCCTCCCTCGCCGTCCTCCGTCCTGCGGTCGCCGGGCCCTCGCCGTCCTCCGTGCTGTGGTCACTGGGCCCTCGCCGTCCTCCGTGCTGCGCTTGCCGGGCCCTTGCCGTCCTCCGTGCTGCGGTCGCCGGGTCCTCGCTGTCCTCCGTGCTGTGGTCACTGGGTCCTCACTGTCCTCTGTCCTGAGGACTCTGGGTCCTCACTCTCTTCTGTCCTGAGGACCCTCAAATGGCCAGCCCTGTGCTGTCCTGGGCGATTGATCATCCACCAGGAGACAAGACGTTATCCCCGCTCTAGCAGAGAGCCTCACAGTGCTGTGACCTGCCTTGGCCTGGAGGACCAGAGAGCACCTGCTTTGTCTTCTGTGTCCATGTGTGTGCTCCTTTCTCGGGCAGTTTTAGGTAAGCTTTTGGTGGGATGGTGGGAGGGGCTGGCATCCAGTGGTAGCCAGGCCTGAGCTGGCTTTGCTCAGGGGTACTGACCGCAGAGGAATTGTGGACGAGGCCCCGGCCGGTGCCAATCCAGCTCTGAACAGCAGGTGGCACCCCAGGCCCAATGTGGCAGGGGAGTTCCAGAAGGCCGGGTGAGCGGCTGCTGCTGAGAATCCCCGCGGAGCCCTCGTCCTGAGGGAGAGCGAAGTCCTCTCCGGTGCCCTGTGGTCCTGAGGCTGGCAGGTCCTGTCCAGGCCCTGCCGTGAGGATGAAGGCACAGCGGGGCTGAGGAGCCCGAGGGCGGGGTGGGGCGGCGACCCTCAGCAGTTGGGGGACCGGGCGTGGCTGAGCTCGCAGACCCTGCCTGCGGAGAGGGCTGCCACAGGTCCCGACACGGGACCTCTTTGCTCAGCTGTGCAGTCCGAGCGGCTCGGGCTTGGGACCCTGGCAGGGGTTAGAGCGGATGTCCTGGGATGCAGCTTCCCACAGCTGAAACGGCCCGGAAGGGGTGCAGAGGTTTGGGGGGCCGGCCCTGCAGTCTGCTCCTTCTACCCTGGGCGGCCCCACTCAAGAGGCAATGGTCCTGGGGTACCCAGTACTCATTGTGTTCTAGCATTCTCTGCAAGGAGAGCAGGGGTCCCGTGGCCCTGGCCCCGTCTAGTGGGTGGCCTACCCCTGGGCATTAACATCTGTTTACCAAGGTGACCATCATAGGAAGTGACCGCTTGGCATAGTGGCCCCCCCCCCCCCGCATTGAGGCCTTTGTGCTGCCGACCCCAGCAGGGGACACTCCTCCCTTCCCTGAGGACTCTGTCCTCAAGCCTGCCCCCGAGAGAGGGCCGCCGCCCGAGGACATG